GCATGCCAGCTGGGGAATTCTGGGAGTTGTAGTCCACCCATCTTAAAACTGCCAAGGTTGCTAAACCCTGGTCTACACATTCTCCTTCCAGTACACCCTCTCTGGCAGAGCCCGATCACCATCCCGGGTGGCAGCCGCCAGTCTCCGATCAATATCCAGTGGCGAGACAGCGTTTACGACCCTCATCTGAAGCCCCTGGAAATCCGCTACGACCCGGATACTTGCCTCCACATGTGGAACAACGGGTACTCCTTCCTGGTTGAGTTTGAGGACACCGCGGATAAATCAAGTAAGAGCAACTGAGCTTAAGGGGTGTGGTGAGTTCGCAGAGGCTGAACGCAGAAGCTGTGACTTGAAAAAGAATTTGTGCCTGTTAGCAGAAAGATTTTAAAATCCAGATAACTCTGAAAAGTGTACTACACATGAGGTACAACATGTCTACTACGCAAAGGTGTAGTAGACATGGTCATGCTTAGGGGTTTGTATTTTGCACCATTATATATTTTGGGGTCGAGTTGCTTGTGCCCCAATTAGCAAGGGGGTATCTAACAAAGCTGCTGGGACTTTCTCTGTATGTTTCCCCAGATTTGTTCTGCCTGCTAAAATTCACTTCCAAATGCAACCTAGCTAATGTTTAGAAAATTATTTATCATTCTCTACGTATAAGGCACTCTTCCAAAACCTCTGATATCCTTTGTTCAGTTTTTACCTTGCCTTTTGCATCTGGAAACACAAGAGGCCATTTGCGTGGTTTCATAATGCCTGTTCTCTGTTGAAAGGTGCTTGGCAATCTATATTACTGAAATGTAAAAGCCGGTTATCACCTTGACTCAGCTGACAGATAAGCTTTTTGAATAATTCACCTGAAAGGATCTGAAAAAGATAAGGCCTCCCTTTGAAGCAATGCCTGTCCTGCTCTCGTGGTCTTGGGAAATACTTTATCCTGTACCTGGGCAAGCTTTGCACGGGCCTTATTTCTCTCGCTCTCGCTCTCTTTTTAAGGAAGAAAAAAAAAGGTCAACTTTATTAGCTGACTTAAACTATGCCTTCTGTGCTTCTACAGCAAGGGTCTTCAAACTTGGCAAGTGTAAGACTTGTGAATTTCAACTCCCAGAATTCCTGAGCTAACATGACTGGAGGAGGAATTCTGGGAAGTCCACAAGTCTTCAAGCTGTCAAGTTTGAAGGCCCCTGTTCTACAGCTATGCTATTTCCATCAAACAGGAACAGGATTGCTTGGGGCAGAAATGAAAGGAACCCCCTCAATGGCTTAGCACAATTGTGAACAATCCGGTTGTGAATCAGCTCAAGTATTAAATCCTGCTTTGAGAAGGAGTGTACAAATGTTGTAAGTGCTGGGTAATGCTTCCAACAGGGTGCAAATGTAACATTGGTGTACAAAACCCTTAAAGCAGCCGTGTCTCTTTGAAGGCGAGATGTCTGTTGTCGCAGCTCTGGGCTCTGGTTGTTTTGATTGTTTTGCCTTTGAATCCAATGCACGAAACATCCCAAATTTTTAGTAGCCTGATGCTGCTGAACTACAAGTCCCAGCATCCCTCATGCTGGCTGGGGCTATTGGGAGTTACAGTTCAGCGGCACCTGTTCCCACGCTGTGCTTCAGTTCCTACAAAGAGAAATTGCACAGTGTGGCAGACTCTGCATTCTCTGTGGTCAACTTGGAAAAACCTTCCAAAATGAGTTATCCCCAAATGGGATAAATTTGCTCATCTGTTTTCGGGGTCTATAAATCCCCTCCTTCACCCCTCTGATTCCTTCAGTCGAGCATGAATTGCATTATGTAGGTTTGAAGTTCTGGACAAAATCTAAGGCAATTTCTTCCTTTGCAATCTTCCAAGAATGCTTTCCCGCACTGCTTCTCAAACTTGGCAGCTTTAAGATAGTGGACTTCAACTCCCAGAATTCCCTGCTGGCTATTGGGAATTCTGGGAGCTGAAGGCCACACATCTTAAAGTCTGAAAAACCCTGCTTTACCGCTGCCTTTTTTCCTTTGTGTTTTTTATTGTTTTTCAGAAACATAAATGCTTATATTCACTCTTCTTTCTCCTTTACTTTTTAGTGCTGTCTCCTTCTTTTAGTTGTTTGGGGTCTCTCTCTCTCTCTCTCTCTCTTTCTTTCTTTCTCCTTGCTTCTGCCCTTCAAGGAAAATAAAATTAGAGAAGAGGAAAAGTGGATTAAAGCTAAAGTTGAGAAGGAAAGACAGTCCAGGAAGGTAAGTCAATGGGCATAGGAAAAGGATATCGGGCAAAATGCCCTTGGATTTGTAGCCAGGATAAAAGAGGCAGTGGGCACAGGATGGCAGGAAAGCCAGGGGACAAATATCCAAATAGGTGATGATGTGTGTTGCTGGTATTCTTGCCATCTGGTGACTGGTAGAAAAGGTAGAAGAAAAGGACACTGTGGCTCACCGACAGAAAGGTTTCCAAAATCCTTTGGTGAAGTTTTGTCCCCAAACAGTGGAAGGGCTTAAGCCAGCCAAAAAAAAACCCACACCCTGTTGTGAATTTCTCCCCACCTTAATTAGAAGCTTGGGATCTACTTCTGGTATTTGACCCACCAGGAATGTGGCTTGAGGGCTGCATTTCAAGTTTTTTTCCTGGTTCTGGGTCAGATCTGAAGGTAAACAGCTGCATTTGGCTTCTGAATTCTGTGCAGCCTTTGGTGTCCACGAGAGGGCGGCCGAGCTCAGCCTTTTCCGTCATTCTTCGGAAAATCTCAAGATGGGGAAAAAAACAGGAAGCAGAAACGCCGTTTTGGTTCTTCCAGCTGTTGAGAAATCATGTTAGACTTTCCAGGATTAGGGCTATTCTCTTCTATTCCCCAAGATATAAATCTGTCTGAGAGAGGCAACTCCTGTTGGAATGGATAAAAATGGATTTGTCTGTAAAAGTTTAAGTTTAAGAGAGCTTTGCTCTCTTCCCGTTGGAGAAAATGTTCGGCCAGGGAGTCTTACTTTGGCTTCTTTGCTCAAAACGTCCCTTTTGGACAGTTGAAGATTGAGTGGCTCCCAATTTCCCTGCTGCCAAAGCAAGGAATGCATTATAAAACTGTGGCTGGGATTGGCACCCTAAGTCAATTGTTGCGCTTGGTTGAGATTTTTCCTGGGCGAAGAGATAACAATATGCACCTTACACTGACAGACTGTCTTGTTAAAAAGGGTGTCCAGGATTTTGCATGAATTGGACAGTGACACTCTTGGATCATCTGCAGGCCTGGCTTTCTTAGAAGCCTATTCGACTGCTGAGCTTCAAGGATCTTTCTGGCTTTTATGGTGGCCAATATTGGTCAGGAGGCCAGAAATATCTCTGGAGAGACCATGGATCAATGGAGACTCTATCTTTAGTTCTGGGGATGTCAGCATCTTCGTGCTACCTCTGTGAACCAGTCCAGGGACGCTTATTCACCAAAGCAGAGGAGATCTGTGACATGTCAAGTAAATTTTCTCCTAAAATGGCAGTGTTTGTCTGAGTTAGAATTGGGTGGTATCAGCCTCACTTAGCTAAACCAGACGGAGAGTTAATTTCCTCGATAAAAGCTACTTTACAGGCTCTAATACAAGAATTTTGCAAGTCAAATTGTGCTGGATGTCTTCCCCCCTCTTATACTTCATTAAATTGTGGAGGTGTCTGCCTGAACTCTTCCCAATGTTATCTCATTGCTTGGACTTCAAATACATTTCAGCTCCTGTTCCCTAGGCAACCGTTCCTGCCTGTCTCTATCAAATAGGCGAATAGGCGGCAATATAAATACAATCAATGAATAAATGCAATAAATAAATAAAGTCCCCTTCCTGATTCCTTACAGGTGAGCATCCAGTGAGGTTTTTTTCATGCCACCCCCCGTTATCAAAATTAGGCACTGCAGTATCTGCTTCAACTTTGTTGCAGTGCGGAACCTCAAAACCAGAGGTCTCCAAACTTGGCCACTTTATGACTTGTGGACTCCCAGATTTCTGAGAGTTGAAGTCCGCAAGTCTTAAAGTGGCCAAGTTTGAGGGACCCCTGCTCAAAACGATAAGCGCCAAACGGCCTTTTAATGGTTTGAAGCCATTAGCAAACGGGTCTAGAACCCAGGCTCCTCTTGTGAATGACGCAGACCCCTCCTCTACACCCCCGTCCCCCTGAAGGCATGCCTTTTCTCCCCACCACAGTCATAACGGGAGGCCCCCTGGAGAACAACTATCGGCTGAAGCAGTTCCATTTTCACTGGGGAGCCGTCAACGAATGGGGCTCGGAGCACACGGTGGACTGCAAGGTGTTCCCAGCGGAGGTAAGAGGAAGACCCGGTGAAGATCAGCCTGGATGCTTGCAAGGCGAATGAGATGGTGGGCTCTTCCCCCATCATCCCCCCCCCCCAGGGTGGTCCACAGAGATATTTCGACTTCTCTTACCCCTCCCACAACGGCTTCACACCTTGCAACCGCTCTTAGCCTTGGGCATTGGGAGTCTCTGGAGCTGCCCTGTGGACAGCTGTCCAGAGCATCGTCTTCCAAGACGCCCCCCCCCCAGCTGGCATGGTTTCCCCTTGTTTCTTCCAGCTACATTTAGTTCACTGGAATTGCTGCAAATTTGGAAGTTTCGAAGAAGCTCTAATGGACGAAAACGGTCTGGCTGTCATCGGGGTTTTTTTGAAGGTAGGACGGATGGTGGAAAAATGGCAATTTTCCTATTATTCCTCCCCATCTGTTGTTTTTCTTACACAATAAGCATCATTGAAGTAACTGCGTTTGTTTTGATTTCTTTGTGGATTTGCATGGATGTGTGTGTGTGTGTGTGTGTGTGTGTGTGTGTGTGTTTATACTGCAATAATAGTATCAGAATATAATCGGGGGACCAGGCCAATTTTATATACAAATTGTCCGGGTGGGGATACAGGAAGGAAGGTGTAAATAGAGACTAAAACAGACCTGTAGGAAGGAAGTGGGAGGAGAAGACCACCTCTGGCCATAACTCCTTCGTGCAATGGATAAAGAGAGCCAGTGACTTTGTTTATTGAGGGTATTTTTCTAGGGGGTCTTTCAGAGAAGTCATTAGTGGGGAAATGGGTGGGATCGGGAGATCAGAAACCCCGTTGTCCTAAAGTTTATCACGGAGTAAAGATGTTATTGGTACAAAACCTTTAGATCTGAATCCAAAACTTATCTTTGCTTTGACAGCTTGGAGCCAATCATAATGGCCTGCAGAAATTAGTAGATGCCTTGCCATCCATTAAATACAAGGTAAGATGAAAGTTGACCTCTTTCCTATGTGCCTGGAATGGCCTGTCTACTCTTGAGTAAAGCAGAGGGTTGCCTTCTAATTCTTGCTTCCCTAGAAACGGAAGAAGAGAGACTTGGGCACAAAGATGGGTGGACACATAGCAGGATTTTTATAATCTATGTTTCAAAAACCCAAAAAGGTATTTGCAAACAGGGAACATCTCACAGGTGTCCCAAACTAATGGTGTTGTCATTGGTGGAATTTCTTAGGATTCTCTGATTGAACTGGAAGAGTTTGATCCTTCCTGCTTGTTGCCTTCATGCCCGGATTATTGGACTTACTCGGGATCTCTGACCACCCCTCCACTTTCAGAGTCGGTCACCTGGATCATCAAGAAGAAAGCCATTGAGGTTGATGAAGACCAGGTTTGTCAAAGCAGATTTGAGAAAGGGGAAGGACCCCTCTGCCATCTGAAATCCTGCTTAGCAGGAATATACGGACAGGGTTCACATTCTCCCCCTCAGCTGTGGTTTGGTTCAACCATAGTTTATGGAGCAAACACTAATGCTTTGATCTGGGTATAAGGGGCAAGGCATAAACAATGGTTGGCTTTGTTCATCAGGCCAATCCGTAGCTAAACAGATGATGATATGGCTTCATTCAGGATTCTCTTGTGAAAGAGATGCAAAGCAGCCAGGTTGATTAAATAGAAGGTGAGCTGAAAGTTGATCCACAGGTGTGGCAGAACAAGTTCCCGCGGAATCAGATTTCCCACTTTAACCGTTGTCCTTGTTGCAACGTACATAAAGGTACTTTGTGTGGATAAACGGAGATTAGAGAATTGAGCTGGGTTGAGATCAGCAGGATGGAGAGAGAGAAAAAAGTTGGATGTCCACCATACTGGCTGGTGGTGGCAGCTACTCTGGGTCCATCTAGATTGGTGTCAGGTAGTAGCTTAAATATGGCAGCCACCTGGATCTTGAGTTGGGAGTAGTTGAGTCCAGAGTAGAACTCATGGGCGGCGTAAGAAGGCAAGAAGTTCCATTGCATCTTCCAGGCTTCTCAACCATGCCGCAGAAGCTTCTGTTGGGTTGGAAGGCTCTTGTTGGCCAGTCTTGGCTGGGAAGGAGGAGTCCTTTCCGGGAGCTCTTCCGCGGACCCACGAGAGTCCCACCTCTCTGTTCCCGCTTCCCCTGACTGCTGTTTCTCCTCTCCAGCTGGAGGTCTTTCGGATGCTGCTCTTCAGTCCAGCTGGAGAAGACGAGGAGAGGATGGTGGACAACTTCCGTCCGCTGCAGCCCATCATGGATCGAACAGTCCGCTCATCCTTTCCAAAGCGCTTCTGGCAGGACCTGGAAAAGCCAGTGGAGGACCAGATGTTCCATGCCCACGAGCAAGGGCCCCGTCAGGACACGCTGCATCTTTAAGCAGCTCAATGTTATTCTCTGCGCCCGAGAAGTACTTTAGCATCAAGCTGGGGACAAGATCCGTGGCTTCAAAGGGGCCGGGAGATTTCTGGTCCTTCCCTCTTCCAAAAGACTGCGCTTGTAGTGTGAGCACTGCTTGGCCTCTTCTCCCGAGAACAGAACAAAGCTCCAGTGAGGGCTTCAGGCCTCACCTCTGCTGTCCAGGCACTTCCCCCCCATCAGTAGGTGCTCCACTGCAGGAGCTGAACAGTTGGCTGAGGCCCCTCTGAGGATCTCTAAGGAACCAGGAGGGAGACAGGAAATTTATGCAATTTGACCAGGGCAGGAATTTGTTTTGGTTTCAAGCTACTTTAACCCAGGTGCCAGGATTATAACATCCTGACTTGCCGATTGTTCTGGGAATTATAGTATTAATGCACCCGAGGGCCATTCTCTTGCAGAAACCTTTTCCAGGTGGCCTATCCCTCATCTACCTCTAATGGGTGCTCTAACTTTATAGCAGTTCCTCTCCTCCCCCAGAAATTTTCCTGTCTCTGTACATACAAGAGGCTGGGGGTTATTTGGGATCTAGGAAACAAGAGGAAAACTTTCTCTGCTTAAATCAGCAGATTTGAATGGATTTCAGACTATGAAACAACCAGGCGCGCTTAGAAGGAAATACCTAACTTAGGCATGATACACGTTGCAAGGAAACATGATAGGATCCGTTTCCTATCCTAAATATGTGTACCGGCTGATGCATAAAACCTGCCAGATTGTAAATATGCCTATTTTTTTCATTCTTTAGCACTGCGATAGCCTTTAAAACACAAACCCTACATAGAGCCTGCACAGTGCCTGACCCTGTGGAAAACAGGCAATCCACTGTAGCAGCTTGCTAACCTTCATTTGAGGTTGGTGAGTACACAATATGTGCCATAAACTGACCAGGGGCATTCAAAACTTGGTCAGCCCCATAGGAAGACTTGTGTGTTAGCAATCTTAACTTGTGTGTATCAAAGCAGAAACCAACCAACAGTACTTTAAAAAGTAGTCTTACTTACAGCATTGCTTCTCAATCTTGGCAATTAAGACGTGGACTTTCCTGGCCTTTCTGTTTTTCATATCAAAGTTTTGTATCTTCCTCTACATGTAAAAGCATCAGAATAGGCGGCCTGAGAGATTCACAAATCTATTCGGCGTTTATAAAAACGGTGCAAAAAGGAAGCTTAAAGCTGTTACGCATCTTTACAATAAATATGAACTTTTCTCTCTCTCTTGTCCAGAAGTTATTTCAGTTGTGTTTGCCTTGGGAAAGAGGAAGGAGGGAAAATGAATTGTTTCATTGTGTGGGAAGCGACAACAACTAGATTAAAAAAAAAATTCTCCTAAAATGCATTGAGATGGGAAAACAATACCCTACTGTTTTGACTGCAACACTTGTTCAGGAATAATGTGAAGGTTCATTGTGGTTTCGAAGCACAGGAAATATGTCCTCTCGACACACACGTGTGCTTGTGTTATGGACACTATTGTTTCTGCCTGTTCTTTCCAGGCGACTATGAAGAGAGCCGGGAAACCAAATGCTGCAAATGGACAGTTTTCAAAAATGAGAGAGGCCGTCTGAAGGGAGACCGTGTGTGTGTGTGTGTGT